TTGTATTGATGTATGAGTGTCTTCTTTATCAGTGTACTTTAAAGATTATAGACACTGCTTTCAGTAATTTAAAAGTCATCTCATCTCATCTTCATCCGCTTATCCGGTATCGGGTCGCGAGGGTAGCAAGTCCAGCAGAGGACCCCAAACTTCCCTTTCCCTGGCCACATCAGCCAACTCTGACTTGGGGATCCCGAGGCATTCCTAGGCCAGTGTTGAGATATAATCTCTCCAGCTGGTCCTCGGTCTGCCCTGTGGCCTCCTCCCAGCTGGACGTGCCAGGAACACCTCCCTTGGGAGGCACCCTGGAGGCATCCTCATCAGATGCCCGAACCATCTAAGCTGGCTCCTTTCGACGCAAAGGAGAAGCGGCTGTACTCCGAGTCCCTCGCGGATGTCCGAGCTTCTCACCCTCTCCCTAAGGGAGACACCAGCCACCCTCCTGAGGAAACCCATTTCGGCCGCTTGTACCCGGGATCTCGTTCTTTTGGTCACGACCCATCTCTCATGACCATAGGTGAGGGTAGGAACAAAGATCGACCGGTAGATCGAGAGCTTCGCCTTTCGGCTCAACTCTCTTTTTGTGACAACTGTTTTATAAAGGGATCGCAAAACTGCCCCTGCTGCCACAATTCTCCGGTCAATCTCCTGCTCCATTCTACCCTCACTCGTGAACAAAACCCCGAGGTACTTGAACTCCTTCACTTGGGGTAAGGACTCACTCCCTACCCGGAGTAGACAATCCACCGGTTTCCTGCTGAGAACATCTTTAAACATTTCCCTCCATATTTCCATCTGAAGCAAATGAAAGACATAACAGGACTGAGGAAACTCTCTGGAAGAATTCAGATTTTAGCTTCTGAAATTTTCTTTTAGACAGTTCTGATGGAGCTCAGGATTTATCGGGAGAACAGCTGCTTTACTCCAAACAATTTCACTGTATGAACCTGGACTGTGTGTGACCTTTCGGATGTGTAGAAGAACACAGAACATTAATTAACATTTGATCCTCACCGATCCTGTCAGCGCGTCTGGAGATTTAAATAATCAATGAAGTTACGCTGCTGTGTCTTGTAAGTAAATGCACACAGCATCTCTCTTAATGGGGAGACACTTCACCCATGTACCAATGCACCCACCCGCAGCCCATCTGCTATTAATCAGAATGTTTATTTTTATGACACGGCGGACCCAATCTGCAGATTATGACATTCCTAGTCTGGGGGCATGTGGGTGGGGAACAGGGAGTGAAGGGCAAGCTGTGAGTGCGTATGCATGAGATTAGTGGAATGAAGGGGAGACAATATGCACAGATCATTTGCACCGATCATCTGCGGACCACACATAATGCCAGACTCATTGCTTTCGTTCATTTATCAGCCCCATCAATCTGTATCTGTATCTTTGTATAATAGTTCAATATCAACAAAGCTAAGTTAGGGAGAATTAGCGTAAAGGTTTTAATGGTGGGGGAAACTCATGCAAACATGGGGAGAGCATGCCAACTCTGCATCCGCCAGGAATCTAACCCGGGACCTACTTGCTGTGAGGTGACATTGCTAACCACTGAGCCACTGTGCTGGCCAATCAACATCATAATCATCATCATGTAACTCTGGGATTTCACTGCTACAGTGTTGCTTGGGCGGGTCTGACCAGTAGCTTATGGTGGCTAATGTTAGAGGTCACTTTATAGCTGACACAGTACTAAGTTTGCTGAATGTATGACTTTTCTCTACTTCAGTTACATTATGTTTAAGCATTTATTCCATAATTGTAATTTGTGACCACTGTTCTGCAAATGTTACATGGCCTCGCTTATTGGACACAATGCTAAAGTGTTGCATGTCAACCATGTGTTTTAATCAGAGAGATTTTAGATTCACTTCAGTAACTTGCTCATTTAGTTAACAAAGCATCCCAGATGGAAATGTAAAACATTTAGACAGAGGCACTATTCTGTCTTTACCATAGATGTCAGCAGTAGTTGTCGCCCTTAGTCACAATGTAGTCGCAGAGTTAATGCTCATACATCCACCTTGAATATAATGTGTCTTAATGAGCAAAGTCAGCAGCAGCAGGTAGGTTGTCACACATCATCGGTGTCCGCACTCTGTCAGTAAATATCACGAGTGATTATAAACACGGTTAGGACACTTCACAGGTACACAGCATAAACAGAGTGCTGTTGAGAATAAACTGCATCCAGCTTGGAGCTTTAAATCATCAGCATCCCACCTGCTACATCTGTAACTGGAACAGAACAATCTTATACAAACACGATCCCTGTCCAGCTGTCCAGAGCGCCTCTCGCTTATTCACTGTAACACAGTCAGTACATCCTCAGCCTGTCTCAAGCTGCTTATTTATGTGTTGATTCTAATCTTAGTGAAATTATTCTTTGAAAGGCCTGGAATTAAAATGGGTGCTTTACCTGGAATTCCTTTTTTTCTGGACTGGTATTTTTCATCAGGTGTCTTTGCTCTTGTTTAGATTACTGCTGGTGTCTGGATTTCACTCTCCTACTGGTCCAAATATTTGATGTCCACCCTCCAGGAGGTGCAACACATAACCCACTTAACACAAGGGAACTTGTGATGGCACCCACAGACATTTTCCATACGGGTGGCCAGATCAGGCCGCTGAAAATCTCGGGGTTACACATCACATCCAAAAATTAAAGCTAAAAGCAACACATATTTAATGAGAACATCTTGTTTTTCTACAAACAAAATGTATCCTGTCTGAATCATTTTAAAGAAAAACACAGCATCCAATTTTAGCTTGAACACACCCACATCACAAATTAAAAAATTGCCTTCAAATCCAGTACACACACACACACACACACACACAACCGGCAGTAAACCCACGACCACTGACACTCTCATCCACCTCACCCGTCTGTCAGCTCCTTGATCCAGCTTCCCTTTTTCTGTCCCTCTGATTTCTTTCTACACCCCCGTTTCAGCCTTTTCAGCAACATTGCACACCATCTGGCGGTCCTCCAGAATTAATAGAACAACATTTTAATTAAAGCCAATACATACAGTAACTCTTTTTTATTTATATATATAAATATATATATATATATATATAATAGTTTGACTTTGATTTGCATGGCCTGAAATATCTTTTTTTAATTATCTGTAAAGCAGTGTGAGTGACTCCAGTCAGCCTGAGTCTCCACCTTCACTAACAGCCAAGGGCGTTTTCACACCTATAGTTTGTTTGCTCTGGTCCGAATCAGGCACCAACTTGTTACAATGTTGCATATGGCCTCGAGTTTGGTTTGTGTTCACACAGCATTTACAAGTGGACCAAAATGTGTGATGCGCGAGGAAACTGCTCTCTAATTGGTCAGAATTTCCATGCAGGAAAACTCCCGGAAGTAAACAAAGAAGAGCAGACTCCAGAGCGCCACTTTTCAATTTTACAATGGAGGGACAACTACGCGGGTTGCTCTTGGCCCTGGTCATCGTGTATTACATAGTTTGCACTTATCACTGTAGGCAAACGGTACAGTTAGAAAATGAGGCAAGGCTGAAGCTGGAAAATAATGTCATGATGCACTGGAGTCGCCGACGACGCATATCGAGACAGTTCAGGCGGAGGCGCGCATTAATCCTCCTGAACTGTGACATGCTCATCAGCCGAAAATGTTTCCAAAGATCCATCAGGTAACGTTACGCCTGTGGTCTTCAACACAGAATGCACAGTGGAGCTGGCTATGGGAGGTGGTTTAGTCCAAAACAGGCGCAATGCTTCCTGCAGTTGGGTCGGATCGAGGTTGGATCGTGTTCTCACCACAAACGTACCGCACCAGAGTTTGTTTGGAACCGGACCAAGACCACCTCTTCAACGAGGTCTCGATCCGGTTGTTTTGGTCCGCACCTGAGTGCGATTGATGTGTTCACCACTTCCCAAACGAACTGCACCAAGGGGGTAAACACTCCAGGGTTCGATTCAACCGAACTAAACAAGGCAGGTGTGAAAACGCCCCAAGACTGTGGTTTAGAACCATTTGAAAAGAGAGCTTAGCTTAGCAAGGCTTCAGCAGTTACAGCAAGGCAAAGAGCGGGACAATAGGGGAAGTTAGTGAGAGGTAGGCAGGATGGAAAATCCCCCCAATCTTTTCCAACAATATTCAAACTCTGAAACGTCTGTCATTTCATTCAAGTAACGGTGCGTTGTACCGGTCGCCTGCCTTTGCGCAGGCTTTGTTGTTGTTTGCCAGAAGCTGTCTGTTTTTATCGTACACTTTTTAGATCTTGGTCATTTTTTTATTTTTTTTGCGTTTTTATTGCCTTTATTGATAGTGACAGCCGAAGATAAACAGGAAAGGGGGGCAGAGAGAGAGGGGAAGACATGCAGCAAAGGGCCGCAGGTCGGATTCGAACCCGGGCCGCTGCAGCTAACGATAGCAGTAGCTCGGCTCGCAGCCCCACCGGGAAGTGCTTTGAGTGCCGAACAGTGTCAGAGAGACACACACATCTCATTCTGAGATGAAGAGACCCCAACGGATTTTGGCTCCCGATAGAAACTTCTTGAACAATAACCACAGAAGGAATCCAAACCAGGACAAGATGACTGCAATTACGGCAGTGGTGGTGAAGACAACAACTCCCACAATCCCACGCTACTTCACGACATCACCAGACATTATCTTTTATCATTGTTTTGATGTGAGAGAACCCCTAGTGGTGGAAATTGCATATTATATGTTTAATATGACCGCATTATTAATTTATGTATTGTAAGTTCCACAATAGCCATGCCAACTCATAGAGAGCATGATTGGATATAATGTTACTCCAGGACTTAAAGCCAAACTTAAACTTCATTCAGCACAACATATCAACCTACACATTAATCAAGTTGAAGCTTTTTTGATTTTTGCCACTGTTTAATACACTAAACCATATTCAGCACAACCTCATTTAAAGCAGTTTCCACCTCAACGCCAGCATGACTTTCATATTAAGCAATCCAGCCCATACCTGATTCCATGAACTCTTGGTTGAAGCTGCTCCAGCGCTCTTTGCTCTTCTCCAGGTTCTCCTCCATGACATTGATGTCAGCGAAGGGACAGTTGCATTCTGGGAAGCGGGCTGAGCACCGGCACCAGCAGTCGTTGTTGCGGCAAAGCAACTCGCCCTCTGAGTTGCACGCCACATAGCTGAGGGCTGCCTCCACAAAACGCCCACGCAGGAACTCTGGCAGGACATCTTGCAAGCCTGGAAAAAAAGGGAGAAACACATGGTGAGGTCTTCATTTTCAGACTAAAGTGTTTTTTTACAGGCTGGTTCTGCATGCTTTCACATCATGTTATTTTTGTAAAGCTGAAAGTAGAAATGTTGAGAATGTGGAGCTGCATTTAAAGCCTTTGAACATAAAATGTTGTTTCTGATACATTAAAGAAACTTAGAATTCTTAGCATAGCATTTTTACTCATCATACCATTTCTCACAAGATTATAACCAAACATTTTCAGCTCATCAGGGTGTCTAATATTACATTTCATTAAAAGCAACACTAATTGTAGCCTAAGCAGCTCCTTGCTGTTGGATGGAAAGGCATCTTTTTTACAAATTGCAACTAAATCTTCCTTTAGTGGACATAAAACTTTAAACGTTTACCATGATTTTTAATTATGACTATGACGCTAAACTTCAAACTCTAATTCAAGCTCAAATATATACATCAGAACGCAAGCTATTAAAACGTTCATCTGCAGAACAGCCTGTGTAGCATAATTTCATATTGCTGACACTAATAACATATCTTCTCATGGCTGAGGCCGATAGAGATGACATGTGCAAAGACAATAGCTCATCAGCTGGCTGTGTCTACTGAGTGTGGTCCTCATGCCTGAAAAGAACAGTCACTTAACCAAATTTCAAATGGATCTCTGTTCTCTGGCTGATTGGAGAAGAGACTGCAGCTATGTACATGTGCGGTGGTATTATCACAGGGGCAAGAAAATAGGTTGTTTTCTCAGCTCAGCTCCTGTCATTTTCAGTGGAAGCTCAGTAGGTGCATATAAGTTTCGAAGCCTGCCCAGGGGCATGTTTTAGTAGGTTTGGGAGCTATCAGTAGAAACTGTCACCCAGTCTGCAGTCACCATAAACAACCTGCTGTCCAAACCTGCCATGTACAGGTTGTTTCCTTGCACTGGGTTTCATTATTACTCATTCCCGCTGTGTTGTATGAGATTTATTTTTAACAATATGCATAGATGCCATTAACCTTTTTTCATTTTCTATCTTTTCATTACCCATATGCAGTCAAGAAAAGATGGTTACAGTAATAGTAATGGAGATGATGGGTGCTGAGCCTTATTTTCATGTAATCTATATACAGAAATGCAAGAGAAACAACATTGTTTTTCCTGCTGTTCCTTCAGTTTTTCTGCTACATAATTGCTAAAGTTAGACCAAATTAAATAGCCATATAATCCAAACTTTTATAACTTTTTGACGTGTTTGCCTCACGTCATGCAGTATTGCCTTATGTCGTCACCAGAAAGCTTTCTCGGCTCTGATTTGTTGTTTTTGTTCATTTACGAGGTGGATTTTCGTAAATGCCATTCGGAGCACTGCTACTACCTGACTTTTTCACAGATTATCTGTCTCATGTGCTACTGTCAGGATATAGTGAAAGTTTCAGCGAATATGACAAAATGTTATTTTTCGTAAAAGTGCAAAAAAACTGCTGCAGCTTTAAATATACCTGGTTGAGTATTTTTCCCAATTAACAAGTGCAATTGTTTCTGTGCTACCATATATTGTCCGGATAAAAAGAGAATTTAGGCTTCTGTATTTGGCATTTTCAGTTTAGTTATAGTTCAGTTTAACTATCAACCCTCTTTATTCTTTGTGACTCATTTCACTTCACACAATACATCACAATGCAGAGGGCTTACTGTAATCTGTTCATGACATTTCTTCCTTCAGGCATTTCTCTCTCAAGCAGGCCTTTTTATACCGAAGACATTTTGACATGTCGCAGTAGCAAAGCACAAAACTAATGATGGCTGAATTCCATTTAGCAGCTTTGGTTTCAAGGTCCCAGTACTGTTCATGCTGGTTTCTGGCACTTGAATAGAACAGAACACCAGGGGTTTTCCTGCTCTGCCAGGTCAAAATTGTCTGCTGTAAAGGCTACCGGTGGTACTGACCTATAAGTTGGCACCTGTGAGCCGAACAGATTCATGGTGAATGTAATCAAATACTGCGCAACCTCTCTGACACTGAATTTAAGCACTAACATTAGAAAATCAAGTGCAAATTAAAGAACTGCTTATTACATGCACTTTTTTTTTTTTTTTACATAGTAGCCCACTAATTGAGGGCCCAAGCCCAGAATGGATAATAATTAAATGCTCAAGATGTCCATCTTTATGTTCTTTAACAGCAGGGTAAGCACACAGTTTCAATTTCACTGCTTCCCTTATTTAAATTATATTAAAAAATACATTGGTATGCTAATTATTGTGCCAATGTTTCATGACTTCATAGTCTATTAAACGAAATCAAAAGCTGATGTGTGATGTTAAAAGTGCATCATCATCTGTTAGAAGGCAGCAGGTGGCCTTCAGAAGACTTGCCATGCGGTGTTCACGCTGCGTCTCTGAATTTGTCTGTTGGTCCATGCGTCTGTCTGTCTAATAATCATCAATTTGCTGTGTCAAAAGCTTCCTCTCTCCCTACTTCACAGTTTCACTCTGGATGATTTTCAACAGCCAAGTCAATCCCACTGTGCCCCGCTATGAATATGCATGTCTCTTCTTTGGTATTTACTCTTTCAATGGCTTGGAAAGAGATGTAATTAGTCACATTTCTCCTCTTCCATGCTTTGGCAGGTGCTTTGAGGTTTTTGCATGTGTGTGTGTGTGTGTGTGTGTGTGTGTGTGTGTGTTTACTAGTTGCAAATCTGGCAGGGCTTTCTTCAGTTTGGGAGACAGCTAAATAACACTCTTCCCATCACCAATCACTATCCCACTTTCTCTGTCTCTCTCCCCACCTCGCTGTTTGTTGATCTGTCTTCCTACTTCTCCCTTTTTTTCTTTCTTTCTGTCTTTCAGTTACAATCGCTCTGTCACATTTGGAAAGTAAATGTGGTAATTTTCCTGTAGACTGCTCTCTGTTATCTCCTTTTTGCTACAGCAGTGGCAGCAGTTGTTTCCAAATAAGCCTTGGTGTTAAGAGTCAGATCATTCTGTTTTGAACTGTTTCATGCGCTGAACATTTACAAAACCAATCTCAACAATCACTGATTCTCTTCTCTGTTTCTCCTACTAAATCACAAAAACGTAAAGCATTTTGGAGGGTTTGGCTATATTCTAAGCGCTGCCAGATACAAAGATCACTGTAGTCGCTCCCAACCTAAAGGTGTAGTTGTAGTGCGTTAATACTGACTTACGGAATTCATTAAAACGAGCAAGAGTGGAAGCTGTAGTGTTTAAGTGGTGAACAATGACACTGTGATAGACATTAACGTCAATGACTGGTGAAGACGCATTTCTTTAAATTGATTGTTAGGTCATTGGCTGTTCACAGTCAGCAGAAGCAGTTTAGTATTATTGTTTGGCCCATATATACAGTATGTGATGTGATGTCATTTTAATGATTGCTTGAACTATCAATGCCCATCAAGACACTGGGGTTGGAAATTACCTTGGCTGTTTTCTTTTTGTCTATTAGCAGTAATTAGCCACGCAGTGCAGTTTGCAGCAGCCTTGCAGCTACAGTGCATACGTTTGCATTCCTGCCACTGGTGGTGGTGCTGTTCCATTGAATGTGATGGTTGTGTAGTACAAGTTGTATAGTTTCTCCTATGCTCCTGCAGTGGCATTTACACAAATGGGAAACTACATTAATTAATGTTAGGAACCTAATTTCTTGTAATACATGAAAATGTTGATGTATCCTCATGTGGCTGCATATTGTTGAGCCTGCGCTCTGAGATGTATGGCTGTTGTACAGTCTAATGCTGCGTTTTCACCAACACATGTATGTAGATTACATTACATACAAAGTCAGTACAAATAGATAATAGATAATAGTGCAAATAGACGCATAAAACCGGGCGACACCAATGACATGACATGGAAACGTTTACTGGCAAGAGGAGAGCTTTATTTATTTATTTATTTATTAAACTTTTGAGATTAAAAAGTGGATTTATCCTCACTCTCTCTTCTCAACCTGTCTGCTGCAGGCCCCCACTTTTATCCAACTGTGTGCACCAAGAGCTCTATGATACTACTTAATATTTATACAGAGACAGGACTAAAAAGGAGTTTGCTTGGAGAAAAGTAAGTTGCACTAACTGGTAAGAGCTGACAATGTGTCTGTTACTTGATTCCAGCTATCGGTTTTACTTTACTATGAACAAAGTTAGCATAGCTCTGATTTGAAAAAAAGTTGTTTGCTTGTCTCACTCAACAGCATCAGAGCTCTTGACATGTTTCACCATAGAAACATCAAGCCACCCCAGCATCACACAGTCAGCTAAGCTACCTGGAAGCAAGTTAAGGTGCTTAAGTTATTAATCTGATATTTGGCGTGGAGGTGGCATTGAGAAGTTAAATGATCTCCTCAGAAATGTGGACTTGAGTTCCCAACTTTGAGAAACATATAGCAGACTGTGTGACTCAGTATTCTAGCCCCAGTAGTTAGTATGGTAATTGTGTATATTATAGAAATAAGACACAAGTGAAGAGTGGAAATGAAGACGGCTGTCAGGCAGATCGAAACACTTGTTGGTCACTCCTCTTCTCACCTTGTTGCTTTTCACCTTTGACACATGCCATTATTGCAGCGGCACATTAGTATTCATCTCTTATTCATCGTCTTATTCATCATGCCACTCACACCTGCTGATCCAGAATGAATAAAAAGCACACCTCAATACGCCACACACAGTGTCTCAGATGATTGTAACAATGCAACAGAGTCTGTATGTATGATATGGCAGGTTTACTTAGGTTAAAAGAGGCCTTCAACATGATTCTTTCTGAGTTGTCACATACACAAAACTCTTGATGGGGGATTATATTATACTAAACATCCTCAAACATCTGAATGGAAGCTACAGAGAAAGCCTTTTTCCCAACCAAAAAAAAATTAAATTGGGGAAAGGACTTCAAAAAAAAAAAAAAAATTTTTTTTTAAAAAAAAAAAAAGTTTTTTTTTTAAAAAAAAAAAAAAAAATTGGGGTTTTTTTAAAAAAA